GGCTGAGGACATTCTGGATCTCCCCTTCCAAAGGCTGAGCTCTGAATCACAGGGCCTATCAGGCAGTTTCACCCCAGTTGGCAGTACTAGTACGGAATGTCCCCTCACCTGAGTCAGTTCCCCCAGCAAAGTCCTCATCATAGGATTCATCGGTCGAGTCCTCACCATCCACTGAAGACCATGCCCGGAGCTTGGCTTCTGCAATGGCAAACTGCTCAGCCACTCCTATTGGGGAAGACATGGAATTCATTAGCAGAAGTGCACTAAGGTTAGGGCTCAGCTTGGAGACAGGAGAGGGAAGACACATGGGTGTGGAAAGACTCCAAACCCCACATCAGGCCCAAGGAGATGAGAGAGAATATCCCTAGGACAAATATGTGGCTGATTCTCTTTCTGTCACTCACCTGCCCGCAAAGCGAGCCTCTTGCTCACCCTCACTGAGATCCGAGTAGGAGGAAAAGGCTGATTCCAGGGCAGCAGGAGAGTCGCTTGGCTTGCTCCAGCCCTTCCATTCAATAAGGTGAGCCACTCGACCCTGGGCCATGGCAGTGGGCTTGGTCACGTGGTCCTTCACCACCTGGGAAATACCTAGAGGTGGGGCAGAGTCAGAAAGCCTGGTAAGAGCATGGGTCAGAGAACATCTGGGAGGGAAGTGTAAGGGTGGTGGTAGTGAGGGTCCACATGTGCCTTTGGCGGGGCAAGGGGCAGGGATTCACCTGAGAAAGAGAGGAAAAGGGAGATAGCAGCAGGAGCTCAAAGGATACAATCCCCAAGGGCATGTAAAAAAGGTCCAAATGGCCAGAGGCATGGGAAGGGGTTCATACCATGCAGGGAGGATCTGGCCAGTGCAGCGATCTCCTGGATAGTTAGGGCTCTCCGGGACTTGGGCAGCATCGCGACAGTGTCTCCAACATTCACCTTGGGTGACAGCATTAGAGGGTGAGTGCTCCTCTGACAGCAGTGTCCTCCCACATGCCCATACCCCACCCAAGGCATCAAGGGGATATGGGAGCTGGGAAGAGATGACAGGGCAACACATGTTTCCCAAAGGCTGCTGGGATATGTAAGAAGGTAAGAAGCCAGGACCAGCAAATTATGCCCCCCACCCCCCACCCCCAGGGAGCAATGGAGACGTGGGCAGACCAAAGGAGAACTACAGCTAACCCTCTGCCTTCCAAGCTCCCAGAGGAGAAGAAGACAGTTCTGGAAGAACATGGAGTAGGGTCTTTGAGAAAAGAGGAAAGGAGAAGGATATAACATCCAGGTCCCCTTCCTTTTACCCCTCTTCTCCTCTGTCTCCAGACCCACATTCTAACTGTTTCTGGAGCCTATCACGGCCACAAACTCTCGATGACCAAAAACAAACCCAACACCTTCTCCCCGTATCTGGCCCTCACGTTGCATCATCCCACCATTCTCCCATTCAGCCTGGCTCCCAACCTCAGCATTACCACCAACTCCCACATAAGCTTTCCCTACGCACATCTGTTGTTAAGACCTAATGATTCCATCTCCAAACTGCCTCTAATACTACCCTCATCCTTTGCAAATGCTCCTTGCCCAGATTAGCATAGTGGTAGTCCCCCAAGCTCCTCCGACTCCATGCTATTTTCTCAGCCTCCTATGTTGTGTAAGTGTTCTCCTTCCCCCTTTCCATGTCTGGCTGGCTCTTTCTCATCTTTTGGGTCTTGGCTGGAATATCACTCCCTCAGAGAAGGCTTCCTGGCCACCCTACCAGTTGTCTACCCTCCCTCTGCAGTCTGTAACAAGTCACCATCCTCTATCAATGTATCTCGGGTGTGTAATTATGGTCTATTTTATGTGTTTCCTTATTTCTTGTTGGTCTCCCTCACTGGTCTTAAGCTCTTTCAGAAATTCGGTCTCTTTTGGTCACTGCCGCACGCCAGTGTTTAGCACAATGCCTGGTACAGAGCAATCTCTCAAAATACATAGGCCGAATGAACAAGGCAATGTATAGATGTACCCCATTTTCCTGGGGTGCCACTGGTCACCACATGTCCTTATTTAAAATCTTTCCTGGGCCCCTTCACTGTCCAATGAAGTGCAAGCTCACAGCCAGGCACCGAAGGACTCTGTGAGGCCCTGCCTCCTACCAGGCCTGCTTGGAATCCACCACTGATCTCCTCTGTCCATAAAACCCCACTTCTCACTTTCCCTGTCAGCAGGCAGCCTCCTGCCTTCCTCCAGGCAAAGAAACCCAGCTTTTCCCTGGGCAAAGAATGCCATCTTTGCCTGACAAATGCTCCCTACCGTTCAAGGCCTGACTCAAGTGCCACCTCTTACTGTGTTTTCAGTCCTTTTCCCATCCCCAGCATCACCCTTGCATCTCTCCTGAGGGATGTCAGGATGGCAGGGCCTGAGTCTGATTCACCTGGGTTCCTACCTCCACCCTGCACCTGGCTCTGCTCCTTGGCAAGCCCAGGCAAATGTTTCCCTCAGCAAATGAATGAAGCCAGAGGTACAGGCACCCTCCCTGGCATTGCCTAGCTCTACTCCATCAGTTCCCACCCCTCACAAGAGGGGCTCCACCTGCCCCTTGACCTCAGGCCCACCCCCTGTCCCTCCCCTTCAGTACCTGGCTGACAAGGCCCCCAGGGTGGCGCCGGTAGCCTCTGGCCAGGCCTGGAGGGAGGAGCACCTGCTGGGTGTTTCCTGGCTCGCTCTCCCTCCCTCCCCTCACTCCCCCCAGCCGCCACCATCCGTGCCAGCA